CCCGGGAGACCCGGGCCCGGCTCCTCCTTCGGCGTCCCATAAAGGGACACATCGTCCACTCCGAAGTGGACCTTCCCGCTGCCCTTGTAATTCATCTCGTTGCCTGAAACAGAAAAATGATAACACTCGTTAATGCAGGGAATGTATTTCGTGACGACGTTAATATACAATGTATTTTGTGATGTGCGACGGAATGTTTCAATGATTCGAGGCATCGAACATTCGAGATGTCGAATGTTAGCGTTTTGTATTTTGGACGCGTGCGATCCTGCACACGTACCCTCGGGAGAAGCTTACGAGACGTGAAGACGAATAGACGTTTGCAAATCAATTGTAAAATACGACGTGTTATACCGAACACCATTGTTAAATCGTCCTAATACTTATACTAAACCTATATTAAATCTATATTAACAATCTTAGCAGATAAATCATTTTATAAAGCGCTATGTTCCGATTAAATAAATATTCAATATACACGAATCTTTTATGTCTGAACTTTCACTTATATCGTGTAAGTCCTACAGTGATTCAAGCTGGCTGAACGTAAAAAGTGAAGACAACGTCCGAACATAAACAGACAGTAACACATCAGTGAATTACATTTAATGCAAGAATAAAACTCTTTTATCTTTATTTTTGATTATGAAACACTTACTAATATATGTGTGACATTTTCCTGATTAAAATGAGACCAAACGCGACGTAATTCCGAAAATATTTACTTGTAATTTCAAGTGTTTTGTTTATATCAAGATTTTACTGTAATAAGATGCGCGGTAAACGGACGAGTAACGACATGTCGGGTAACTTCGTTTTTCTTCGGTGCTATTCAGATAATCACGTGGTACGTCTAACTGTCGAAAACGTAAACCTCAATGGCTTTATGGCTTCGAGAAGTTTTCTTCGACAAGTTGTTACAAATATTTTCGAAATTAAGTCACATTTGTGTTATATTAATTAGGAAAACGTTAGAAATATATTAGGAAAGGTTATATTAAAGAAATTAAAAATAAAGTTAGTAACGCATTACCATTGTAAACAATATAGAATGATTTGATATTCGCTGACTTTTTATTTCACTTATCTTCTCACGCATTCAAATTATAACATGTTTAGTCTCATTTTAATCAGAAAAATGTGAACAATCTATTAGTAAAAGTTTGATAACGAAAGACTCGAAAATGACAAAGTTTTATATTTGCATTAGTATTGTTTTGATAATAGCAACACGTATTAGCTTTATAGATATAATTATAAGTTCCTTTTAGATAACTAAGGTATAATGATAAATATACAAGGATGAAATATAAAATAATTTATACCTTTATACGCCATCTCAATAAAATTTAACATACATGTCGGTAAAATATTTTAGTAATTTCTGTGATTTAAAATAAGGAATCTAAGATAGATTATTTTAACACTTTCTGTAAACTTAGTGTTAAACTTGTTTCATAATGATTCAAGTAAGAAGGGAGCACTTTTGTTAAAATTGTAATTAATTATTGTCTTTAAATTTTTTATATATCATTTATATTACCTGATTTCTTAAATTTCAAGTTAACAAATTATCATGCTGTTAAATACCCAAATTTTTAATGTGCAAAATGAAAAATTTTGTACTTTTGAAATATTTAAAGTTTGAAATGTTCAAATTTGCAAAGGTTGACATATCTAAATTTCTAAATTTTCAAATTCTCAAATTTTCCTCTTCCATTTTCTAAATATTTGAAAGTCCTGAATTTCCAAAATTATAAACTCCCATCACAAACCTAACTCTGTACTCTTAAAGTATCAAATTTGAAAAATTCTGAAGTCTCAAAATCCCAAATCAAAATACTCAAAGCCACCAAAAATCCATATACCACCTATAACGTCAAGCTTCTAAATCTTCAAATTCCCAAAAATCCAAATAGCTATCAGTTCCAAACAACCACCCAAAGCTTCAATAATCAAAAGTTTGAATCAAAATTCCAGCACCCAAAAATAAAGTTCTAAAAAAATCTCGCAATCCAAATTTCCAAAGACCTAAAATTTCGAAATCCTAAATACATAAATCCAAACTACTATACAAACTTCATCTAATTTACCAGACAAATATCTTAAATTCCTCAATCCTAACCGCCTAACGTTCCATACTCCAAAAAGACTTAATCACTTTACGATCCTTTCGTTCACCGTTACACAAAGAACAATATACAAAATGTCCCTAATTCTCTCGTGCAAGGATGAATCCTTAAGAGAAAGCTTACCCCACGCAATGTTTACCCAGACGTCATTAACCGTTGCGTCAAACTGATAAAGGCAAGTTTGCACAGCATGACACGTCCATCCATCTTCGTTGAATAAACCAAAAGTGACCATCCTGTTCGCGAATTCAACCTTCGAACATTTTCGTCCATTCAATTCATCAAACGCGATTCAAGTGGCCGCGCTTTGCAAACAGTTTAATAAACAGGTCGTTAATTAATCTTCAATTTGTATTACGATAACGGCCATAAATCTAGGTTAATTTTGAAATGAGGTTGCCAAGATCCCGTTTTCTCTATTAAAACAAAACGATCGTGGGTTAATCGACACTTTGCATCCTTTACTCGCAGAAACGTGCCGCACTCAACATTTGCGCAGCTAAATTACTTTCATGGTGGTTCCGGCACGCGAATTTATTCTGATTTCTCTTTACAGCTTCCCAAACGCAACATGCACATACGAGAAACGTAAAAACCTCGAACAACCGTTCGACTCGATTAAATACAGTTATTCGAGAGAAGGATAACTTCTTACGGGAACAGTTTTCATGTGGAACGATCATGTGGAGCGAATTACTTTTATGCCGAACGATATACTACTTCCTAGTACATTTGTTTTAATCTGCGCGTTGAGAGCTTTGCAGCGAGCTTCTAACGCGTATTAATTATTGCGGAACCAAGTAAGTAGAAGTTCGTAAACTTCGAAAACAGAGTTAACGATGAATTATGAGCCTTCGATTTACGGGAAAATTGTTTTTAATATTTGAACACAAATAGCTCTTGCTGGTAGGTGTTATTTACATGCATCTATAATTTTAAGTTATTTACACGAGTTTGTAGTTTTTAATTATTTACATGAATTTTGTAGTTCTTAATTATTTACATGAATTTGTAGTTCTTAATTATTTACATGAATTTGTAGTTTTTAATTATTTACATGAATTTGTAGTTTTTAATTATTTACATAATTTATACTTTTTAATTATTTACATATATCTACAGTTTTTAATTATTTATGTGATTGTACAGTTTTTAATTATGTACATGATCTATAATTTTTAATTATTTACATGAATGCATAGTTTTAAATTGCTTACTGCAGTTTTAAATTATTTACATGAATCCAGTTTTTAATTGTTTACATAAAACAATGAATAAATCTGATATAATAATAAATACTGATATAATAAATCTTGTTGACTTTTGTAAATATATCATTTTTGCATTTTTATATTTCAGAAGATTATTACATTTATTATTTTAAAGTATATTTAAACAGATGAATGAACTTGATTACAGCATATTCAAATTTGGCGCCAAATGGAGTATAATCAACACAAAGTATATGCTCTACATTTATCTAGTTTAAAAATACCATATGAGCATTGTAAACTATTAATGTCTTTATAAAATATTAGAACATTATAGTAAAGATATTAACTTAATATTAATATATTATTGATTAAAATTAATTTAATATTAATACTCAAATATGGCGCCAAATGGTGATAATGAATACAAAGTTTATATTTTGAAACACAAGTTTAAAAATCCAATATTAAGTATTGCAAAGTATTAATATCTTCATAACAACAAAATATTCGATCTGTATAATAAAAATATGAATACTTTACAATTCTTATATTAAATTTTTTAGCTAATCAAATATCAGAACATTTGTATTCATTATCCCACATTTAATGCCAAATTTATATTTCAGTATAAAATTAATATTAATATTAATAATATTGAAAATGTAATTTAATTCTGACTTTAATCTAACCTCACTCAGAAAGCAAATCAACAAAGTTAATAGTAATATAATATAACCTAACTCAATGCTGAATTTTGGCGCCAAATTGGAAACACTAAACCACAGCGGAAATGTGGTAAAAAATATATTTTCTAGAGAAATAAATACAATCACAGTTTTTTGTTTCCTCCCAGAATCTACAACATAGGATTCTTGTCCGCAGTGATTCAACAGATGTGTAACATCAAGGTTATCAGGTTTCTCAAAACTGATACAATACTTACAGAAGCTTCCAAACTCAAACAAACATCATAGGAATCCAATAGCGCATACGGATTAAATTTCCCAAAAACCTACCATGTAAAATATCACATAACTATGAAGTATTATCAAAAAACTACAACGTTCTTGTATCAAATATTATTCTGTTCTTTTATTATAACAAAACTTTAGTTAAACAAATGAACCTACTACTATTATTTATTGTACTTTACAAAATGTAGTTTAATCCTTTAAATGTCCAAAATAAATTTTTCTTCAAATACCAAAATTTGAAAATCGACAGTCGTTTTAATAAATTCAAAAATGTCCAAATATTCAAATTACTAATTTTTTAAGCTTCAAGAATTGCAGAGTTCCAAATTTCAAATTTTCAATTTTACACACTTCTATATCACCAAATTTCAAAATTGTTATATTAATAAATTTCCTATTCCACAAATTAGTATATTAACAAATTTCCTATTCCACAAATTAGTATATTAATAAATTTCCTATTTCACAAATTAGTACATTACCAAATTTCCAAATCCCTAAATTACCTTAACAAATTTCAAAATCCCCAAATTTCTACACCACCAAACATCTAGTTCACCACACTTCCAAATTTTTAAAAATCCTTCACGGTAACAAAAAAAAAAAAAATTCACTCACGTTAATCACATAAATTAACCAAAACACGAACACCAAGCACTAAACCACCGTATCAGGAGTACTGATCTCCAAACACTTTCACAGCACCTCATCAAATCCGTCACCAGCGATCAACTGTAGGACTCACCGTGCTTGAATGTTCTACAAGCGTGCGACAATTCCGGC